CAGATCTTTGATATACAGTTCTTAAAGACTTGGACGAAGGATTTGTTTCGTGCCTAAAATTTCATGTTTCAAAACTTGCAAAATTTTCATTTTTTTTGTAAAAGTATTTGCCAAACATCCAATTTTCAGTTTTTTCTTCGTTCAAGTTCTAAGTTAAGGTTTTAACTGAAGCACGTATTTCTTTTAATTTTAGATGACCTTGGAGAAAGTTATCTTCCGAGAGTTCACCGGACATGGCGTCGCAATGGCTGAGTTTAAAATACTTTTTTCCAATAATTTCATAATTACTTTGCAAAAGTCTATATTTGTAGTAAAAAAATTCTAATAAGATATTTCATCTTTTATATGAGAAAACAATTGTTGAAAAATGCTGTCTTTTACTCGAAGTTACCGCATGTAACCTCTTAAGGCATGTCAAATACTGTAGTGAAAACGTTTCTACACCCTAAACAAACTTGAGTTTTTCCAAGGTAGATGCAATTAATCTTCTAACCCCAGATTCGGTCGAACCAATTCAATTAGTCATGTTGTCTTCGCCAAAGTAATACTGCAGTTGCAACACACGTGTGCGCGGGTTAATAAAAGCGAGCAAAAAGCATGCGTTTCAAGTTCTGGCAGACTATTCTAAAGTAATTTCAACAGCTGCAGTGTTAGCCACAAACAAATGCTTTCGATTAAAAGTTAAGCAAAAAACATGCCCATGCAACTTTTACAATGAAAATGTCCTTGCAACATAATTACGTTTAAAGGAATTTCTTTGCAAGCTCACAAATACACACACCCTACACACTAAAGTTTTATGCCGCCGCTGCCATGGCAAGTAAGCAAATACTTAGTAGTTGAAGTGTAAGAAAACAAGAAAGGAAAACTTGCAACATTTCTGGCTGCACACAGCCTGCCACGTCGTATACGTACGGCTTCATTTGGGCTGCTCGGGGCACCTTCATACACTCTTGCGCCGATGATGATGGCGGCAAAAGCTAGAAAACTTAAATGCACGTGCCAAGGTGCATAAAGCATTGTTGAAGAGCACTAGAAGCCTGCACGCAGCTGAGCCACCTACCTCGAGCACACACACACACATACCAAAGGCACGGCAGAAGCGGGTGCGGGGCAGTTGCGGATGTGGCTGCGTATAATGCATAACGCAGCGGTGGAGGCAAACAGTGACAAAGTAGTTGATGGTTAGTGTCTTAATTTCATTTGAAAGTTGGCAGCTGACACACCGACGCACACACACACACTCACGCGTGGCGCTGCTGCTAACTTTTCCCACATGTGTTGTAATTTGTTTGCTGCCTCACTTTTGCTGCCACAATATTTTTTCGCTTAGTTGGCTAAAGTTATTTGAGTTAGCCAATAAAAAATGACTTGTCGTAACAAAGTTTCTGCAGAATCACTAAATGTGAGCATGATTTTCTATCGTTCTATCGTTCTTTCTCCTTATGTAATGCGTGTGTGTGGCGCATATGCCACATGTATGAAAATGCGAGCGCAAGTGAGGAATAAAGGATTTCCTTGTCGTGCTTAAATTACAAACTTACACAATTTTCATTATGTGCAAGAACTTAATAAATTATTTATGTTGATGATGGAATAGATGGATATGAGGTGTGTTTACACAAACAATTACTAAGGTGTGTTTAGTTTTTATGCCTCCGTTTGTGGCTGTTATGTTGCCGAGCGTGCTTTGTTGTTATTGTTATGCAAATACTTCTCGTTAGTAGAACTGCGACTGTCAGTTCGGCTCAATCAGTTTATTATCGGTGACTTGATCGATCAGCCATGGCTTTTATCTGCCGCTTATTTTTATCTCAAAATTAAGTCATTAAGTTGTCGGAATGTGAAATCCGATATGAACTGTTAAATATGTAAATATGTATGTGTGAATGCGCAGTGACGTTCGTTAGTGTTTTGCATAACATTAATTAAGCTGTCCAATAAAATTTGTGAAAAACTACTTAGTGACATGATAAAATGCCGAGCTATGTATTCGGAAAATAATTTACGTATTTTATTGAGAGGACAGCAGGTTTGATGGAACGTGTCTGCAGATGATTGACGGCTGACATTGGAATGAGCGTAAGTCGTTGGCACTGGCTAAATGAACTCGTTTATTTTTTTAGTGTCAAACGTGTAAAAGTAATCACAATAAAGTTTTCCAAACTTTCGGAAACATAAAAATATGTAGAAAACGAAGCAAAGCAACTTTCGAAGTATTTACACAATGCTAAGAGATCCATTTGTTTTTATTGTCAAAGTATTGAACCAAATCAGTTTCTTTCAAGAAATCAAGTCTTAAGTACAAAAGTAATTTCTCCTTTTGTTTAAAGCGAGCACTCAAAATCGAAATATTTCTCGTCGAATTTCGAGAATGAGCTTGTTTGAAACTTCGTTATGTATTATGTTAAGCAAATAACTAAAAAAAGTTAAAATATTGGCATAATCCACAATTTCCTATTAATTGAACGCTATTGCAATTAAGCTGCGCACAAAAAGTTTGACTTAATTTTTATCGTGGAAAAAAATTAACAACGAGCTTGCTGTCTTGACGTTTTCTATATGAAATGAAATCGCCGCTATGGAGATGTTGATAATTTTGCAGAAATGTTTTGGGTAGTCTAGTGTTTGGCTATCACAGAGCATTAAGCGAAGGTTGTGAGGTCATGGAAATTTCCCTCAAACGTGTCGTGCAGAGCCAAAAAGGCTAAAAAAAAAACAGCCTAATGGATTGACTGAACACATTTTGGTTATTGTTTTGCGTAAGAAGCTTGTCAATGTTAGATTCGTATCAAAATAATATTTGCAAAACTGACGTCGAGAAAAAAGTCTTTGTGCCCTTTCGTCAATTAAACCACTAATTTAAGTATAATAATATAAGAGGAGGTCAGCTTTTATTTAAAGTAAGCTAAGAAAAGGGAGGGATGGAGCCATGTGTTAAAGTTCGCGCAAGTGCGGAAGGTTCTCTGAGTGAAATTGACTAGTGAGTAGCCAGAAATGATTCTTTTATATGTGGTTCAGGCAGCGTATCTTAGACCAAATATCCTCAAAGACCAAAATGAAGAATTCAAAACAGCCTCTTAGAAGCAAAAACGAACGGCGCGCTGTGTAAAACTCGGGTTTAACCGCGTAGGCAGCGTCTATGCCAGTAAAGAATATGAAGGTAAGAAATATATTTCAACCCAGCTAAACCAGTTAATTCCAATTTCAATTTTTATTAATGCGAGTAGTTTAGCTTCATTCCAGTATTTCGCATATTTGAGTTTGAATTGGTCTCTGGTGTGCATTTAAGTAATTCATTAACCACTTACAAACTGACATAACAGGTAATTGGCACTCGGAGCAGACACACGTCTTCGCCGAGTATTTGATTATGCTTTTATGCATATGATTTCGCATCAGAAACTTGAGAGCTGATAAATGAACATGCCATACTTATTAGCATAAACTTAAATATGGGAATGCTTATTTACGAGCTTATCCAAGTTTCTCATTAAAGCTCCCTGAGGCCCGCCAGGTGACTTGTCTTGTGTTTGGTTTGGTGTGTTTGTGAAAATATTTCGAAAGTGTTTCTGGCGCGCATCCTGTAAATTTGTTTGTAGCCAGACACCTAAATATTACTTAGTGTGAAAGCGCTTTTAAAATGGTGTGGTCCACGATTTTTTCGCATTTAAAATTAAGCAGTTTATAGAATGTAAATTGTGAATTGTAAAGTGAAACTTGTATATTTTGTGCATTAACAATATTTTACATCGTTTTCTTTCTGAAAACACACTGGTGGATAATTTTTATGGGCGTTCAATTCGCACTTGTGAGAGTGAAATATAATATAATGAAAATGATCTTATATATGGCTAGTGACTTACTCATATTAGTTGAGAACACTTTCTTGATCATAATTATTTGGTGAAAAAATGGGTGAAATTGTTATATAACGGGTGATCTAAGTAGAGATACTTTCTAAAATAGCTTTTCTTTAACAGAACACGCGAGTCGCTATTTTTGTTCAGCATTGTTTGGCATTTCACCATGGCAAGATTTACGTCTGAACATCGTTTACAAATCGCTCAACTTTATTACGAAAGTGCATGGACCGTCTGAGACGTAGCCGTGGCCAACATTTGAAAGATATAATCCTCTAAAATGCCAAAAAATATTTGTTTAATGATAATAGACATTTATCAGTAACCTTGAAGTTTCTGGGTTTTTTCTTTAGAAAGTTGGGAACCTCGAAATGGAACAATTTCTTTAGTGCACACTGACTAGGAAAGAGTTGCAACTCGAAAAATTGCAAATCATTAGTAGGAGCAAACACAATTTCTGTAAAAATCATGAGGGTTTTACAGTCAAATTGTCGTGCCTAACGTGGAGTATATTCTCTAAAGTGGCTCTTAAACAAATATGATTTATTTTCCAGTTAAAATAGGAATTAAGAGACATTTCGGAATCGAACAAAAATATGACACTTGCAAATAAGCATCTCGTTATGAGACAAATTCAATAGTATTTTGAAATTTGTTTGCCTACTGTGATGTAATGTAAGGAGGAAAATGGTTACTATTTTTGCATAAATGTTCCCGGGTCCCACAAGGCGAATATATAAAGTGATTTCTGTCTGACAACTTGATTTTAAAGAGCGCAAAATTAAAAGAATATGTTTGCCATACTTCAGTTACAGCTGTTATTTTCATAACAAACATTTATCTCATATGCCATTAAATAATAATAAGGATTCAACACGCGTTCCCGATCTTATTAACGCCTCATTTGTTTGTACATACGAATATATAAGTACACTCCCCATATTATATGTAATTATCCAACTGCAAGTCCAATTTGACTGCTCAAATCATTTGTTATTATTTCAACAGCCGCTTAAATCATTTCGCAACGCCTAAATTTATGCCACATATTTGAAATAACATAAACCCAATGTATATATATGTTAGACATATGTAGGGAGGACACGTGTGTGTCAATGCATATGTGTGATGACTCACCTGGTCTATCCAGTTCGTGTATCAGTTCGTCCGGTTCTAAATATGTGGCCGCCACCATAAATGTTGTACGCGTCAATTCCGCAGACCGCCAGTCACGTGCACCGTTTGTGAAGAGAACTAAACACACACCAAACAGCCACCACAGATAACATGTTGTCACAGCCTGTGAGGCCGATCTGGCGGCTTTAAATATATATGCGGCATGTTGGCTACCCTGCGCCGCCGACCCCGCCACCGAAAATTTCGCCGTCGCTGACGATGCCCAACCACGCGTTGACGATGAAGCACACGATGATGACGATGATGTCGAAGCGAATAACGTGGTTGTGGTCAATGCCGCTGTGCTGGGTGTGTGGCGTGATGCTTCTATTGAATTGAATTTAATTGTGCTGGTGGTGTGGTTGCTACCACAATTGATATTGTTGCTTCTGCTGGTGGCGATGCATAGTGATGGCCACAGCCGCAATCGTCGCTGGCTCTGCTGCTGTTGTTGTTGCTGTTGGAACTGGTGTGTGTGGCGCTGCTGCTGCCGTCGGCCTTCATGTTGTGGATGTTGTTGATTAAAATGTTGCTGCCTTTTATCGGGCGCATTTGTCGGAAATGGCTGCTTATGTTGTTCGCTTTGTTGTAGCGCTTGCTCGACACAGCGCTTTGTTGTCGCGCCGTTTTGCTGGTGGTCATGTAAAAGCTGATGGAGCTGCTGTTGATGGCATTGCTGGTGGTGGTGGTGGTGGTAGTGTTGGTGGCAGTGTTGTTGGTGTTGCACGTGGCTGGGCGCGCGGTCGCTCTTATCAGTGTGTTGCACGCTGTGTGTTCGCTGCTGTAACGGTGCTCTCTGCTGCCATCGACTCGCGCTTGTTTGTTCGCTGTTCTGCAGTCGTTGTAGTTCGGCGTGCAACGGCCCAATATCGCCATCGGCGCTGTTGCTGCTCTCCGAGCTATTTCTATTATTGTTTTTACACTTTTTATATTTACTATTAACGGAGTTTTTGCAGCCAGCGATATTGTTAACCGCCGCATTCATGTTTAATTTAATCATTATATTTTTTCGTTGGAAAAGTTTTTCTGTGCGTTATTGTCGCTTTCGCTGTTGTTGGCGCCGCATGCGGCGCTGCCGTGCTCGTCGATTATTTCCTTCAAAACAAACAAACGCTCATTCATTTATCGGTATATTTTCACRCTCCACTACGTTTGATTACACGCCCTGCGCGACCCGCACTTTCATCGCGCTTTTTCCGCTTTTGCGGTTGCGTTGTTGGCGTAGCTTTGTGCAAATACTTTTTGCCAGGACAATGGCTGTCAATATATACGCGCATATGAATGTGTGTGTGTGTGTGTGTGTGTGGCGAGCAAATAATAAATTAATTTATTTGTGTTTGCATTTGAGTCTGTAATTGTCGCCGTCATTGTCGCTGCATTTTGTTTAGTTTATCATTGCCGMGCATTGCTGGCGTGTTTATTTTAAATTTGTTTGTTCTCGATGTACAGTTTTTGTTTCGCTTCAACCTTTTACATTTTTAGCATTTTTCGCTTTGCGGTCTGCCGACAAAAAATATTCGAATTGCTACACTTTTTAAATGAATTATGATTTGATGGTTTGAATTTAAGTCAGCTAACGCTAGTTGGGAGTGATAAGGTAGTTACGAGAGCATAGCATAGTGTTTGGTAAATACTTATATCGCAAAACACAGTTTAATGTTACATATGTACATATATATTTGGTAGTCGAAAAAGTCTTTTCGTATTTTGTCAGTAGATGTCACAGCTGCCGCACACACTTTTTCGATTACCCAATATATTAATAGGACAATTGAAAAGCGCCTAAAAGCTATAAAAATCGGGAAATATTCGGAAAACCCTAGAATATACGCCAGCCTCCATCTTAAGCGCTAAATCTACTCCTCACTGCGTGTTGCCTGAGCTACTTGACTAGATTAGTATTGTCTCTTGTACGAAAATTAAATTTCGCTTGTAAGCGTTTTCATTCATAACTGTTCTACACACACACACACTCTCAAAGGAGTATGTGTGAGTTTGGAGCCACTAACACGTTCGCAAAAGCGCTCACGTGCGTTTATTTACAGCACAGTTGTTGGGTAACAGCAAAGGTTAATTTTGTCGTTGTTGTTGTTGCTGCCGGTCTTGCCAGTGTCAACGCGCTACGTGCACTGCGTTGCCGAGTGTAACATGTAATTCTTGCTTTCATATTTTGTTGTTGCCTTTCTATTCCTTTTTACCCAGCATTTTCTATTGTCCTATTCGATTGTTATTTCTGCCGGAAACACTGTTTGTTGTTCGTTATTTGCTGCGGGTGTTGATGTTGCTGTTCACTGCAGCAATGTTTCGCTTTTTGTTTCGGCTGCAATTTTTTCGTCCTTCCGTGCGTGGCGTTATTGTGTTGCAATATTTGTTGTGTAATTTAATTCAATGTTTGCTTTCTCTTCCGTACACCACACTTTCAATTAAACAACAATTGATGTAGCTTTCATTTCCTGTGCACTTGTAGTTGCCAGCTGGACATGGCCGGCTCACGCTCGCTGCGCTGCCGCCATCTACATTCCCTAAGTGACGCCAGTGAGGATATAGTTTTTCCAGTGTTTTGCGCTTCGCAGTCGCTTTGTTGATTTTTAATCTGAAACGGAAACAAAGTGCGACAATAAGTATTTATGAATTATGGCAGCGTTTTCAATGCAACATATTAAAGTAATATTTTCAAAATATTGGCGAAAATCTGAATGAGAAATCGCCAATATATTTTTAAAACATTAATATTCTATCAAAATGGATTTGCAAAATGAAAATCCGCATGAAATATTTTACAATTTGTATTATTCGTACATATGTATTTATAAATAAATGGCAGATTTGGTAGCTGGATGGGTTCTGCATAGGTGTGGAGTTTGCCGAATAAAATACAAGCCAAATTTAGCCTAGAGTATTTTAAATGTGCGCCTGAAGAAAATAGCAATCACATTTTTGTAATATATAAGCCCTCTCAGAGCTTCCTATACTAGAAGAAACTTTTATCGGATTACCAAAGCACTAATATTAAATTTGTAATTAATTGTTTGCATTTTGTTGCTTAAGGGGTTATATTCAGCTAGAAGGCCGAAAAGAAGCGAATTTTCCAAACCTTTGTCTGAGAAAACTTTTAAATTCATTGATCCATAAATATTGTACATCTATTATGGTATACTATGTATGGTAAGAGTGCAGCCCTTTTGCCTTTCGGGCTCAATTAGCACAGACTGTCCATTTTTCTGCACTGGTCGTAGACCTTTTATATTCGCTACCACGTTTTCACCTTATCTTTCAAACCATTTTGAGGTTTCGATGAAGCTACTTATGTCTGTATTAGTAAAAATATTTATTTGTAAAGGAACTATAGCTGATCTCCGAGAGATCATCTCAAAGCGGTTTTGTGGTGACCACTATATCTCTGTACTGAACCCACTGAAATTTAATACACCAGACATATTTCGTGAAATTAATGATAAATCTATTAATTAATCGCAGGGATAGGCAAACCAAAATATCTTGACAATATGGCGGTTTCTCAAAAAAAAAAAAAAAAAAAAAAAAAAAAAAAATTTAAAAAAAAAAAAAAAAAAAAACAAAAAATAAAATATTTGTCTTCGAATAATTACGAAAATTATATTAAAGAGACTCGAGTTAAAATTAGAGATCAGACATTTCATCACTTCAGTTTTCGAGTAATGTTGGTCACCGACTTTGGAAAAACCATTTTGAAAAAAAAAAAAAACGTATTTAAAGTTTGGCCTTGTACTTCCAAACACTCTGACCTGACACACCTTTTAAAATTTGCATGCAACTTCGAAAACATATTTATTATGAAATTAATTGATTTGCGATATCAAAATAAAAAACCAAAAAAATATGAAATCGCTTGTATAACTTTGCCGACCACTGCTCCAAAGTATTTAATATGATGGCTTTGTGCCAGCTCTGGTTAAAATGGTAGAATATGGAAAAAAAAATTATTAAAGTTCTTATACAAAAATTTGGGTTTCATTTTTTTTCAATCTGGTATTTGCAATCTTTTATTTAATTAACATTTTTTTGATTATCAAAAAGTTATATCAATAATTTAAATGTCAATGATTAAATAAGCAATCCTGCTTCCAGATAAAATTTTATAATTTTAGATCTTCCTTTTTTTAATATAATGAAATATTTCCTTTAACCAAGCCTTTTGGAGAGAGAAGATACAACGATTAGCCCAATCATACAGATTGTTAAGGAGAAGCCACAACCATGTTACGTATACGCCTCAGCCGCCCAATCCTTTTGTTTAAAAGTGAAACATAATTATCGTACGCATGAATCAACTTTACTGCAATAAAACAAAGAAATAATTTCTCTTGGAAAACAAACTATTTGCGGCACTTTGAGAGCAATAACTTAATTTGGCCAGCCATAAAATTGCTTACGTATACTCCGCCATTATGCTGGGGAAAGCTGTAAAAATTAATCAAGATTACGCGCAAAAAACACGGATAAAAAGCCATTACACATAATGACTACATTAACACAATTATTGCCATTGCAGCCACAAATGCAGATGTCAAATGTTTTGTGAATGGCGAGCGCCGGCGGCGAGTTGAAAAATCCGAGAAATGAATGCGCACAATTTAAAAATGTTAATGAAAATAATTTACACGCGCTTAAGTGTCAACACACGCACGCACATGTGTGTGTGTGCCAAAGCAAACACAATAAATCAAATAGGGCAATAAGCAAACATTAAACAAGTGCATCATTAAAACATCAATTATCAAAGTAAACAAAAGTGCAAAAGTGTGTGCGTAAATAAATCGAGAGACACGCGTGCGTCCGATTGTGGGCGCTTGATAGCGGTATTTGTTGCACATTGTCGCTGCGCTGCTGTTGTAGTATTTAGTTCGATTTTCTGTTGGCGGCGAAGAGGCCTCGGCGGTGTAAGGGTGTGTACAGCAACAGAGAAAACACAACAGCAACCACAACAGTTAAAATCCAAATAAATAAAATAGCAAAAGCGCTGAAATACTTGATTGAGTGGCAGCGAAATCAAAAGTAAATATTAACGATTGAAATAAATCTGTAGCGGCAGCGATGCATGTGGCGGCAGCGCCATAAAATGCTTTAACATCTTTTGTATTAAAAGCGTATTAAAAGCGTTGATAATTAACGAGTTTTGTGTGTGTAAAATCCACCGTTCCGTCGGCATCAATAAAAAGTGTTTACACAAAAAGATATATATATTTTTTTAATCAAAACTTGGTAAATAGAACTTTGATACTAAACAAGAAAAGCCGTTAACTTCGGAGGCATGGAAGCTGTAATACCCTGAACAGGGTATATTAAGTTTGTCACGAAGTTTGTAGCACCCAGAAGGAGGGGTCGGAGACCTTTTAAGATATATATATATACATGATCAGTATATCGAACTGAGCCGATTAAGCCATGTCCGTCTATCCGTCTGTCCGTCTGTATATATACGAACTAGTTCCTCAGGTTTTAATATATCGTTTCGCAATTTTGCAAACGTCATTTTCTCTTCAATTATTATTATCTTATTTGTCGGATCTGCCGTTATCGGACCACTATAGCATATAGCAGCCATACAAACCGAACGATCGGAATTAAGCTCTTGTATGGAAAACTATCACGTTTGACAAGAAATATTCACGAAATTTGGTACACATTATTTTTTGAGGCAACAATGTAATCTCCCAAGAATTTGTTTAGATAAGTTAATTATAGCATATACCTGTCATACAAACTGAATGATCGGAATCAAATGCTTGCATGGGAAACTTCCTCATTTGACGATATTTGGTAACAGTTATTGTTCATAAAAATAATGTAATATCGGTAGAAATTGTTCAGATCGGCTCACTATAGCATACAGTTGCCATACAAATCGAACGAACGGTATCAAGGGCTTGTGTGGAAAACTTTCGCATTTGACGTGTTATCTTCACGAAATTTCGCTTAAATTACTGCTTAAGGTAATAATATAGTCTCCGAAAAAATTTTTCAGATCGGATTATTATTGCATATAGCTTCCACACGAACTGACCACATAGTTACTAACAGAAATGCATCTGTGAAGGGTATTTAGCTTCTTTGGAATCGATGTTAACGGTTTTTCTTGTTTATAGAATAAAAATGTTCAAAAACACATTTCTCAGTTTTATGGGCCAGTTTAGATGGCAGCTATTTTCTATAGTAGTCCGATACATATGTATATATTTTATGGGGTTTCGAAGTATCCGTTGAGTGCTAAGTATAAA